TCTCCTCCATTCTCCTCTCAGGATCTTGGGCACGCACGCACATGTGCCCAGTGTAAATTAAGCCACCGGGTCCAGGATTCAAACAGCGGTTGACTACATGGGAGTCAAGCGACACAGCCATTATGCTAATGGCTGGTCCCAAGAAGAAAATACTTTTTAAAAACACTTTCTGAACCCATGCAGATATTAAATAGTTTGTTTATATAATTTACTTACCATTTAACATGTGGATGAGGGGTAAGTCAGGAAATATGTAATTTTTAAGAGAATATACAAGCTGATATTTCTTTTTATCTTTTTTTATACAGGTGTTTGCTTCAGAATGGTAAGTCAATGCAATGTTTATTTTTGTTAATATTTTTTAGAAAGTTTAGTTTTTTTTCTTTTTTTAAGAGATGTTTTTGCTATTGGTCATGTGTACTTGCTGGAGAGACAAAGGCAGAGAGACAGAAAGCAAGAAATCAGCGCCCAGGGGGATGGCCATGCCATAATCCCGTCTCCTCCATTCTCCTCTCAGGATCTTGAACATGCCCACACACACACTCTCCTGGAGTGAGTTTCAAGCCGCCAGGTCCAGGAATCGAACTGCAGTTGACTATGTCCAGCAATGTAATCATTACTTCATATGCTGGTCCCCAGTTTATTTATTTAGTCCATAACAGACAAAGGCTGAAAGAGAGACAGAAAGAGAGAGAGAAAGGCCTCTCCCCTACAGGGTCTTCATACCATGACCCTATCCCAGCCTCAGTCAACTAGGATCACAGGTGTGTGCACATGCACAGTATGAATAGGGAGATCTCAGAGTGTGAACCCAGCACCTTCCCATATGGCCCCGGCATCACTGAGTGTTCTATTACTGCTGTATCACTGTGGCTGGGCTGGCCCAATCTGTTTATTTATTTATTTATTTGATTTCTTTTTAAATTTGTTTTATTTTGTTATTATTATTATTATTTTGACCACAGAAAGACAGAGAGAGAAAGGGAAAGTGAAAAAGCAAGCCGCCAGGTCCTGGATTCAAACCGTGGTTGGCCATGTGGGAGTCCAGTACTTCAACCAATGTGCCACCTGCCAGCCCCTCATTTCTAATGATAGAGACAGAACAGTTTTACGCTTAGTGCTCATCTACTGCATACTTCCTGTCCTTGACAGCAAATGACTATATATATATATTTTTTTTTTGAAAGTATGGATTGAGATTTTTATTGAAACATTTAAAAAATAGTCTTTTTAAAACATTATAGCATTCCTACTTCTTAGTTAATGCTGCCTATGGATTTCAAAAAATACCTCTCTTTGGGTAATCTGAGTCAAACATTTTGATTAGGTGTACTGAATACAAAGTATGGGATCTTCCACATTTTCTGGATGAAAGAAACCCTTCAGGCCAACGTACATGTCTCACACTGCAGAGTGAAATGTTGCATAAGGAAGTAATTATCAGGTTTTTAATAGTTAACATTTCTTGTTGCTTTAAATTTTTTATTTAAAAAATATTTCCTGAAAGTTAATTGTGACATGTATTTACAAGTGTTATTTGAGCTGAAAGTCACGAGATTCAGTGTCTGCTCCCAGCTCCTGAAGGTTCCAGCATATTACCCCAGTCAGTTATCTGTACGTAGTGACGGCCACACCTCACACTATTCGGATTGCCTCTTTTTTTATTATTATCTAGAGAGAGTTTGGCTTATTTTCAGGTCAGTTTCTGCATCAGTTCAGACTGCTATAAACATTTTATTTTGGGGGATGTGAGGTGTAGAGCTCTTGATACTCTGGCCTCCAAACAGGAGACCAGCATATTTTTGAAATTTCTAGAATAGATCCACTAGAATTTTAGTGTGATACAGTTACAATAATTCAATGTTTCTAGTTTTTTATTTGCCAGCAGTTTAACTAAATTTGGAACTGGGAGGGGAATTAAAAAAAAAACTGTGAAGAATAATAGGAGAGACAATTATGAAGTTTTTTGAACAAGTCCAAAACCAAGGAGAAAGCATCAGAATCTTTTAATCTTATAGTAACTATCCACCAGTATGTCTAGGGTAGTGTTCTTGCTAATTTAATTTCCTTACTAAAATTATTTCCTCTATTTTGGTTGAAAGCTTCCAAATCATTTAGTCTCTATTTCTGCCTATGCATGCTTTATGTTGATGATAACTGGATATTTTTCTTCGGTGATTGAGAATCTTGGACTGATCATCATTTGGAATATAGATTAACAGTGTAACTTACTGTTAGTAGGCATGAGGGCAATGTAACTGACTTTCATGGATCCCAAAGCACATCATGGAAACTGGAAACTGTTTCTTTTTCTTTCTTTCTTTCTTTCTTTTTTTTTTTTTGGAGAGGTTTTTGTTACAGGGCGCATAGGCTCACCAGAGAGACAGAGAGACAGAAAGTGAGAAATCACCATTCCCCCCTCTTCAGGAGAGACTACCACACTGTAATCCTTTCTCCTCCATTCTCCTCTTGGGATCTTGGGCACGTGTACACACGCTCCCAGCGTGAGTATAAGCCACCTCGTCTGGGACTCGAACTATGGTCGACTACATGGGAGTTCAGCGACATAGCCATTACACTGACTGATGGTCCCATGGAAACTGTTTCTGATTGATTCCCACAATCAATTTATTTTTTCATAATGTGTTTGTCTTTATGAAAAGTGAAATTTAGCTAAAGATACCCCTTAAGTGAAGAGTCTTATAAATAGGGATGTTTCTGTAGGTCAGCTCTGTGATCGTTGGCATAGAGTATATTTTGAGGAGAAAATGATGATCAGGCTAGCATTCTTGCATGTTAGAATTAAGTATGATATGAACTCAGACTGTTGATGATGGATTTCCTTCTTATCTTTCCCTGAAACCAGTACACCGAAGGTGAGGCTAAGAAAATAGGAGTGGTTGGCTGGGTGAAGAATACCAGCAAAGGCACCGTCACAGGCCAAGTGCAAGGTCCCGAAGAGAAGGTCAATTCTATGTGAGTACTAGACAAATAGCTGGTGCATGAAACTTATGAAGCTGTTTTATGTTTTGCTGGACAATAAGAATAGTACTGATGGACTGGATTTAGTTTGTAGAGTAAACTAACCTGTTTTTAGGCTGGCTTCCAAGGACATTCTCAGAGTTGGGAGTGGAATGGGTTACTCACAGGAGACGGAAGAGCTCAAGAACAGCTATGCATCACTCTCCAATCCATATGAATATGACCTGTCCAGTCTCTTCCAACAAGGGGGAAATGTCCGGGGTCCAAGTATTTCTCACTTGAAGTGTTGTGACAGAGACATAAATGCCTTAGGGTGGTTCTTGACCTTCTTAAAGTAACCTTCAAGGCAAAAAGATTGCTATCTTTGTATTGCTTAGGTACTGTATCTATCTCATTGTAATTTGATTTTTACTGTCAATGAAAGCATGTTTAATGAGCTCTGTATGGTTTTCCTAATAGGAGTTCTTGGCGTCCAAAGGAGACTAGATTCAGCAGTATAGGAAATAGTGCCCCATGTATACAATGTCATTTTCAAAGACCTTATCATTTTTTTTTAAGAATTATTTAATTTAATTTAATTCATTCTCACTATTTTATTTTATTTATTTATTTATGGACATTTACCAGAGAGAGACAATGAGAGAGAAGGAAAGTGAGAAAGCAAGCTGCCAAGTCCAGGACTCAAACTGTGGTCAGCCATGTGGGAGTCCAACTGTCAAAGGCCTTATCTTTTAAGCTTCATATTTTCCATAGCCATCTGTAGTCTTTTTTTTTTAAATAAAAAGTAGCTAACATTTATTAAGCATTTGCAACATGTTACATGGATTATTTTATGTAATCTTTGATACAGATTGTATGAGGTAGGTACTGAGTAATACCCATTTTATTTTATTGTTTGCAATTTATCTTTATTTTTATGAATATTTTCAGATTTTAAAGGCGATACTTTTTTGTTTACTGTAATAAGTGAAGTAATATAATGCAGAGAGGTATAAGGCAAAACTAGTAATCTGCCTATCTTTTCCTCCATCACATGCCAATGGATGCAGATATGATATTTTACATAGCTTTCTCTTTCACTTAAAAATATTTAAGCATATTGGGGCTGGTAGGTGGTAGGGTGATAAAAAGGGTGCTGGACTCCCACATGGCCGACCATGGTTCAAGTCCCGGACCTGGTGGCTTGCTTTCTCACTTTCCCTCTCTTTCTCTCTCTCATCAAATTAAAATAAATAAATAAAGTTAAATAAAATAATTCTTTAAACATATTTTAGCATATGTTTATAATTAATATTTTTCTTATTTTTGCTAAAATATAATACTTTATGCATTTTTTCTGTAGCTGTATTTGTATTTTGTAGACATTCCAGTAATCATAATTACCAGCTCCTTGTTTTTTCTAATTTTTTAAAGTCCAGGTACACACTTGTGTTTGTGTGTAAAGCCACGCTCCAACTTTTTGGGGTCCTAAAATTCAGTTTTATAAAATGTGATGTAATAGTTCATGAAAAACAAACTTTTCAGTCAGTAGGCTTATCATAAAATGCACAAATATTTGGGGGCTTACTTTGTGTAGAACTGATAGTTCAATGGATGAGAAAATGCCAGATGATTATGAGGTAATTTAAGACGGGGACTGTGTGGAGGATGGAAGCTCATGCCAATCATATGATATTTCTAACCCATGTCATAGCAGGTCTTTGATTAGTTTACTTAACATAAGTGGAATTATATCATATGTTCTGCTCATTTTTTTCTTTCCAACTCTGTATCCTTCAGCCCTTTTCCCAAGTAATCTCTTTTGTGAGCTGGTACTTAACCTTTTGTGTTTGTTTCCATGTTCACACTCCCTTTCTCCTCTTTTCTCTTTCTCAAACACATATACACATGTATGTGCACATGTACACACTCAGACACATACATTTAATGGGTTTTGATCAATATTTTCTTTTTAAAAATGAGATCGTAGGGTATGCCCTTCCCTGTTTCTCACTTTTATCATGCAGAGGCTTCCAGGAAAGGACTAAGTCAAATAGTATAGTGCTACTTCATTCTTTTCCATGGCTGCTTCTTACTTCACAGTACTGATATGTACCATTACCTATTATCTTATTTCTGGGAAACCATTTTTTCATTTCTTGGTTTTCTTTGTTTTTAATTCTATTTTTTCATTTATTTATTTTAATTTGATGAGAGAGAGAGAGAAAGCAAGAAAGCAAGCCACCAGGCCCAGGACTTGAACTGTGGTCAGCCATATAGGAGTGTCTACCGCTTTAACCACCACACCACCTGCTGGTCTCCCCCCCCTTTTATTAATTTTATTTTTTCATTCAAAATGAGAGAGCAAGTTGACATCTTTTAATACTTTTTCCATCGAGTTGCTTGTCTCACTATTTATTTATTTATTTATTTATTGAGAGATTTTTGCTATAGGACACATGTGCTCACTGGAGAGATAGTGAGAGACAAAGAGACAGAAAGTGAGAAATCACCCCCTAGG